AAAAGTGCTCTCATAGCGTCATAATATTGACTTGTCAGTATTTTTCTACCATTAATGTTCATATCATCAATATTATTAATAAACCATAGATGCTTAAACTTATATTCAATATTAAATATGTAAGAATAATCGTAAAATGTTTTTAATTCTAAGTATATTTCATATTCAGATTTTTTACCATCTAAATATTCAGTCAAAGACATTATCCAGAATGGATTTCTTTTTACCTTTTCCCAAGTTGGAAAAGGGTGTTTAATGATATCGTTATACCTGTAAGGACATATATCATAACAGTTATATGACATAATATTCAATCTAATTTCTAATGGTAAATTGTTAAGTTCCATTTCTATTATAATGTATAGTGTGTATTTCTTTAAATACTTTTTTACAAGAAATAAAATTAAATATTGAAATATAATTATAACATATAATATTTTACATGTTATTATTATATTATGATTATAATTTAAGTTCAGGATAATAATTTAATTGATATATCTTACCTCTTTCATACATCATTTTAAAAATAAGATTAATATCTCTCACTGTATTTTTAACATTAAACTGTTCACTTTCAATATATGATTTTATGACTTTTTTTACATCAACGCCGGGTTTACTATAATAAATCAACATCCATAATATGTCATTAATCATTTCACACTTGTTCTTACTGATTTTAAGAAACTGTTTAACATAATCGTAAGGTGGTCTTTCATACACAGTTAAAAATATCAATATTTCATCTTCAACATGTTCTTTCATCTATATTTTTAAACGCCAAACAATTTTCTATTATATTTTGATATCGTCTCCATCTTCTACAAGTTCTACATATATTTTCTTCGTCCAAAGAATAATCAATAATATTATTAACTATTCCATTAGGTAAATTCAATTTATATAATTCCATATTTTCCTTTTTGAAGTGGCAACAATCGTAGCATTTCTTATTGATATAATTATTGATTTCGGTTTCCATCATTTCTATTATAATATATATTATTTTTATTTCTTTAAATACTTTTTTACAAGAAATAAAATTAAATATTGAAATATAATTATAACATATAATATTTTACATGTTATTATTATAGTATGATTATAATTTAAGTTCAGGATAATAAGTTAATTGATGATTATTAAATTGTGTAAATATCTTACGTTTGTCATGCATCAGTTCAAAAATAATATTAATAGTTTTCACGGTATTTTTCACATTAAACTTATTGCTTTCAATATATGATTTAATGTCTTCTTTTAAATCAGACCCCTCTCTTCTACGATGT